ACACAGACTTCTCATCCTGTCGTCATACCCGTGCCTCCACACAGACTTCTCATCCTGTCGTCATACCCGTGCCTCCACACAGACCTCTCATCCTGTCCTCATACCCGCGCCTCCCCACAGACCTCTCCCTCTGTCCTCCTACCCACGCCTTCCCACAGACCTCTCATCCAGTCTACATCTAGCGTTCTCACTAATTGCATTTGTTGCCACGTTATCACAGTGAATTTTATGAAAAATGTATATAAAGCATGATGTTCGTTGCTCCGTCATCCCTTGATATATTTTTTCATTGCTCATATTTTCGTTTCTTGAGAATTTGGCTAAAACGCCAGAATCCCTTTCATTCGAGAGAGTAAGGTACTGTACAGTATTGTGTAATAATGTACAATGTACTTTATCAATTAAACTTCATTATATGTATACACACAAAAATCACGTTATATATGGGGTCTGCGGATGGTTTGCTATTTTCCGCGGTTTTGATTATTCATGGTAGGTCTTGGGACATATCACCCTCTGATAAGGGGGCGATTACTGTACTTTTCTAGTGTTTTGCTGAGAATAAAACAGCGATTGAAATTCTGTCTAAAATAACTTCTTTCCTTACCAGCCATGACTACCATCGAAACACGACAGCTGACTCAGCCATGCAGAATGTTCTAGTCCTCACAGTACCATACCAGAGAAACTACTCCAGTTATTCCTACAACCTTTCAGGATTAGAACAGGTAAGACATTGCCTATGTTTTTATAAATTCTCTTTTATAGTTTAACTTTTTGGGTACTGGGGGTTATTGTGTTGATTTTTTTTTCCTTTTAATATTTTAATAATATGACTTGGTTGTACCAGTACCAAGAAGAATAACATTTGAATGAATGTTCGGGTGTATGCAGTGCCAGTCAAAATTCTGGGCACACCTACTGAAATTTCTTTTTATAACGACCCTAAGTGCACCTCGAGTTTAGGTAGTACGTATTATCTTGTGAGTGAGGAAAGAGATGGAATGCTGTGACAGATGAATCTGGCCCTCTACAATCCTCCAACCTAAACCCTATAGAACTGGTTTGGGATGAGATGGATAGAAGAGTACTTGTGGCCAGAGCTTGTGGAAAGTCCTTCAGGCCTGTTGGAGAAGCATTCTAGGTGGATACATCTTTAAGCTGAATGAACGCCTAGCGTCTGCAATGCTGTCATCGAGGCGAAAGAGGGCTATTTTGAACAGTCTAAAATTTGAGAAAATTTCCCATGGTCCTTGCAATATTTCATATGTATTACTTCATTGTCTCAAGGTCTTTTACTATAAGGTGAATACAATGGCTAAAATAGGGACAACCCAATCATCTCTTGATCTTTGTCTCTCATGTCTGCCTGGTTTTCCATCATTCCTCCCCAGATAAAGAGACTGAGTGACTATGTCATAGGGTATCATGACAGTGTCCTGCTCTTTGGACACGTGCTAAGGCAGATGGCAGAATCACCCCCCGTCAGCATGGAAAACAGTGTCGAGCAGGAGGTCTTGACAAGTAGTCCCTTCAGGAACATCTCCTTCGAAGGTACAGTGTTCCTGGGAAGGACACTGACTTTGTAGGGTGTATTAAGAACATTCTAGAACAGAATAAGCCTCACATGGACTGGTTACTTCTGGTAGGGCCACTAGATCAGTGTTTCTCAAACTGGTCTTCAAGGACTCCCTCAGAGCTCGCCAGCTCTAGAGTAAAAATGTGGACTGTCTGTTAGAGAGCTGGGAGGGAGCAAAAATGTGGACTGTCTGTTAGAGAGCTGGGAGGGAGCAAAAACGTGGACTGTCTGTTAGAGAGCTGGGAGGGAGCAAAAATGTGGACTGTCTGTTAGAGAGCTGGGAGGGAGCAAAAACGTGGACTGTCTGTTAGAGAGCTGGGAGGGAGCAAAAATGTGGACTGTCTGTTAGAGAGCTGGGAGGGAGCAAAAACGTGGACTGTCTGTTAGAGAGCTGGGAGGGAGCAAAAACGTGGTATATTCACATGTATTTGTTTGCTCAGGAATGGCTGGGCACTATGTACTGGATGAATATGGGGACAGGGATGTGAATCTTTCCATCCTTTACGTGGACAATGTTGACAATCAGGTAAGCTGACATTTATCAATCACAGCACAGCCATCAGGATTAATGGTCTGTGGATGCCATTGTCAAGATCAAGAAAAGAGGATGATGGGAATGTTAATTTCAGTGCAGGTAGCACATGAAAAAGCAGGGAAGATGATGTATTTTGCTTCTTAAAATGGGGAAGAGATGAGGTGCAGGAATAGAGGAATAAGGATTCTGAAGTCTGATATGACTGAGCTACTGTGAAATGGTTTTGCCGGTGCTGAAATCAATATTCAGTAAAACCCAGGGATCAGACTCTCGTAAAGCGAGAGACACGACACAGTTTGTGTCCCTTCTGATTGTGATCTTTAAGGAGCTTTAATGGGGCACCTCGAAAGGGAGGCACTTTCAGTCTTTTAGGTTAAAGGGACGGGTGGTCAGCGGTCCCCAGCCCCTGCATGTCCCTGTCCTCCACCCCTCTCTTCAGATGTGACCTGTTCTTCCTACAGTACAAGCTTCTGTTTGAGTTTGACACGTCCACCAACGTGACCACAGTCGTCAATGAGAAGCCTTGTTGCTTCCTGTGGACTGATGGAGGTCTCCCGGATGACCGCCCCCCAGTAAACGGTAACAGTGCGTACCCATCTTACGTCATCTTCCATTGTCGAAGACCAGTTCCAATACTAAGAACAGAAATACAGAGGAGGGTAAAAATCCCCGGATGTCGTTTTTGCCCCAAATATCAAGGATACATGTGTTGCATCATCACCAAACAAGACAAATCGCATGATTCATTGCACCCCCAAGTTTATTCTTGGGAGGCAGGTTAGCAAGACCGCTCTTGCCAAGACCTCAAGTACGATCTTGCATTCTTTGTATTGAGAAACATCCTCTGTTTCATGATGTAGTATGGTATAGATTAGAAATAGGTTATGAACGTATCTATCATCAATCCCTAACTTGGGTAGACCACATTGTTCCTGACTCCTCTAGAGCTCAACATCGTAGTGCTAATCCTGGGGATCGTCTTGCTGGTGATGTCAGCCATTGCTTTCGTGTTCTACAGGTAACTGTGCCCCCTAACCTCACACTGCACTTTCGATTAGATCCCATCCTTTCAAATTCCCTTTCTGACTCCTTTTATACCCCATACCGCTGCTGACCAGTGGACAGCTCATCCGCAGCTCATTGCTGTGGTAAAATATCTTTCGGGCTGTAGGCAAAACAAAAGAGCACGTGAGATCAAGAAGAGGTGGTCCCATATCGAGTCTGGCCTCATTTTTCCCGTGGATGGGAAGGAGCACAGCCTAGTCTCCTTGAAGGTGAGGCCTTCCCTGTCCACCCCACAGGGCAAAAACAAGCTCCTCTCACCCTACTCCTCTCTTCCAGCTTGTCATGGATTACTGACTTTCATCCCTGGTCCATGTAGCTCATGTTTTGCTTCCAAATATATTTTTATCCTGTTGTATGTGGTGGTACATTTTCAACACAAATGATAATTAAGTTTGTGCAACATCAGATGTGGATAGTTCAGAAAGTAAAAATCCAGTCCAAGATTTTGTTTCTACCAACCAGTTGAGTACTTTGTCACTATGACTCTTTATACACAACTGGTTGGTTGAAACAAAATCTTGGACTGGATTTTTACTTTCTGGACCTGAACTATCCACTTCTGATAATTATCCATATTGTTCAGAATTAATTTTGGTGTGTCACAGAAATGTGGGATTAGGGGTCCCTTGGAGGACTGTTTTAATAATAATAGTCTTCTGTTGTTTCCTTTAAATGAATCCCACTCTATTTCTTGCGTAACAGATTGATGAAGACCACAGGAAAGAGAGCACTGAGAGAATGCATGTGGCTCGCTACGACAAAAAGGTCCTGTTACATGACTCGGCATGTAGTCCGCAACCATTTTCCTCTGGCTTCCTCATCTTTGTCTTGCTCTGAAGGAATCGTGATAAAATTAGGCAGTTTGGTGAGAGACGCATAACAAAGCTTTTATCCTTTCAGATTGTGATCCTTAAAGAGCTCTACCACACAGACGGCTATTTTAGCGAGACCCAGAGGATCGAGCTCAATGCGGTAAAGCTCATCGGCCATACCCTCTAGTCCCCCATCTGTATGTTATTCTGTCCTTTTTGCAGCCATTTCACTCATTTTCTTAGCATAACCTGGATATTATAGGCCGTAATATTTTAGCTACGACACTCACAGGTTCAACAGTAGGGCCTCATGTAACATGTCCATGTTTTTATTTGCTGGACTACCTACCAATCAAGTCACATGACCACCAGTGTTGGCCCGCCTACTTGTGCCAGTCTTGCTGTCCTGCCCCCCCTTAGCCTCCCCCTTCTCGTTCCTCAGCTGCTACGCATCGACTACTACAACTTGACGAAGTTCTATGGCACGGTCAAATTCGAGCACGGCGTCTTTGGGGTATTCGAGTACTGCGAACGGGGATCCCTGAGGGTAGGAATGGAAGTACCCGGCTGGACTGTCCGTGATGGATGGCCTGTCATTTGGGTTTACCCAGTGACTGAATATATGGCCGTATTTACAGCTAGCAAGCTAATAAAAGCTCTTCTCGTCACAAACCCACAGCTCTCTTCCATATACCTTTCCTCCTTGCAGTATGTACTGGATGATAAAATCTCCTACCCAGATGACACCTTTATGGACTTGGAGTTCAAGACTTCGGTCATGTATGACATTGCCAAGGTACTGTATGAGCAGAAGGTATGTGTCTGTACACAGGAAATGAGTGTAATTACAGGGGAAAATTTAATCTGAGATTCAACACATGGAAGTAAATCTGATGCAGTGAGTAGGTGACATGCAGGCTGGTGACCATTCCAACACGTGAAAAAATGCGTAAACTAGCCTGATTTACGTAACTTTTACACCATTCCAATGCGTCCTTGTATACTTAAGTGCAGGAACTTAGTTCCTCAAGAGGAATAACCTCTAGGTTATCAGGTCATGTCTGTAGCCAGTGTCTCACTTAGGTTGTCATCCACGGTGACCCGTGCAGGGCATGTCTTACCTCCACTCCAGCAGCATCAGTGTCCACGGGCGCCTGAAGTCCACCAACTGTGTGGTGGACAACCGCATGGTGGTGAAGATCACCGACTTCGGCTGTAATACCATCCTGGTCCCGGGCAAAGGCAAGGCCTGACCTACTCTCATAAAAAGTCATTAATAAGCAGTAATAAACCCCACTGCTGTCATAAAGCAGAGACGGTGTGAAGCACTGTGAGTTAGGACTCCACACCTGTGATGGGAAGGTCACTAGTTCAAAACCTGTGGCTTGCAGAGTGAACATATGTCATTTGGGCCCTTGAGTGAGGCCCAAAGATCCCAAACCGTGCTCCAGGGGTGCCAGACAACTGGTTGACACTATACGATAACCATAAACCCTTTGTCACTCTGTCTTTTATAGGAGAATAAGATGATATATGAAGACCTGTACAAAAGGCAATAAACAAAATATCATAAAATATCATTATCAGTTGAAAGTGAGTGATTGGAAGCACAACATGACTTTAATTTTTCACTCTACCACAGAAGAAGATACCATAGTCTAAACGTTTGTGACTGCTGTGGGCTTTTTATCTCGCAGAAGATTCGATTATTTAGATAATGCTACACTTGTAGACCTTCTGTTTTGCGCACTGAGTTTGTTTCACTAATATATTTATACCTTTATGTCCTGTCTAGCTTGCTGTTTTTGTCTGTTTCCCACAACTTCCTTGGCATTGGATTTTTCCATATCAATGATACCTGTGATTTTCCCTGCTCACCCTGGTTCCTCACCCCTCGCACGTTCTCCTGTTCCCTCGTCAGACCTGTGGACGGCGCCGGAGCACCTGCGCAGGCGGGGCGTCTCCCAGAAGGGTGACGTGTACAGCTACGCCATCATCGCACATGAGATCATGCTGAGGAAGGCCCCCTTCTACACCAGGGCCTGCTCCGACACGGCAGGTAAGGCCCAGATAATGCACACTAAATTAATTAAGGGAGTATAGTGCTCTGTCAAAGTGAAAGCAAAGGAGTATAGCACTCTTTCATAACGATAGCAAAGGAGTATAGTGCTCTGTCAAAAGCAGAGCAAAGTAGTATAATGTTCGGTCAAAATGAAAGCAAAGGAGTATAGTGCTCTGTCAAAAGGAGAGCAAAGGAGTATAGTATTCGGTCAAAATGATAGCAAAGGAGTATAGTGCTCTGTCAAAAGGAGAGCAAAGGAGTATAGTGCTCTGTCAAAAGCAGAGCAAAGTAGTATAATGTTCGGTCAAAATGAAAGCAAAGGAGCATAGTGCTCTGTCAAAAGGAGAGCAAAGGAGTATAGCGCCCTGTCGTAATGAATTGGGTGACTGGAGGTCATTTTTTTATGGGTCTCTTTCTTTAGAGAAGCTGTTCAGAGTGGAGAACCCCACACCCACATGCTTCTTCAGACCTGACCTCGGCTTTCAGGCGCAGGGAGAGGCAGAACAGGAGGTACGGCCGCTCCAGCTGACCACCTCCTCGGTCGTCCCACCATGTGCCCGAATTGGTCCAAGGGCATCACCCCTCCATCTGTGTGTCCCGACGCTCACAGCTGCACGGACTCATTAAGAACAGCTGGGAGGAGGACCCAGAGAAAAGACCGGACTTCAAGAAGATTGAGAGCTCCCTGAGCAAGATTATCAGGTGAGTGTAAAAGCTTATCAGTGTGTGACCGCAGCTTTTTAAACTGGGAAAAGTCAGACACAATTGCCACATCTGAAGGAAATGATGCTTTATTTGCCATTTGCACAAGTATGAGTACATTGAAGTGCTTCTTCCAGTGCTGTTGGAGCATTTCGGGGAGTTAAGATCCTTGCAGATGGGCCCAATAGAGATTGCTCTGCTAAGGCAAGGGCTTGAACCAGCAACCTTCTGATTACAAGTCCAAAGATTTAGCTCATTGAGCCACACAGCACCTCATGTCTCAGACTTACAGATCACAAAGAGAATAAACAAGTATGCGTTTGTGGGGTCTGTAACTCTGCAGTAACCTCCATGACCGCGCCAATGAAAGCTACATGGACAACCTGATCCGGCGGCTGCAGATGTACTCCCGCAACCTGGAGCACCTGGTGGAGGAGCGGACGGCGCTGTACAAGGCCGAGAGGGACCGTGCCAACTGCCTCAATGTCATGCTGCTGCCTGCGTGAGTGTGCATGAGGCGGGGGCACTGAACGCTGAAATGACATTTAAATCTGAAGCTGGTTTTTAGAAACCACTTGGAATCCAATCCCAGGCCACCAGGAAGCTTTTACAATCTGAGTTGAGAAGATAGGGCTAGCTGCCTTTAGTTTGTGTTATTGAGAGAGACAGAAAGGACTAAGGTGTAGGCCAATATCCATTAGTAACGTGACATGACCCTCATGTGACCCCAACCTACCACCCGCAGTCCCGTAGTGCGGTCCCTGAAGGAGACGGGCCACGTGGAACCAGAGCTCTTCGAGGAGGTGACCATCTACTTCAGCGACATAGTGGGCTTCACCACGCTCTGCCAGTACAGCACGCCCATGGAGGTGGTGGACATGCTCAACGACATCTACAGGAACTTCGATAGCATCCTCGACAACCACGATGTTTACAAGGTAAGGAGGGTGGTGCCATTTTGGGAAGGAACACTATCTCACATCCATTTGGAGACCTTCTATTGTCCTTCCACATCAGGTAGAGACCATTGGCGATGCCTACATGGCGGCATCAGGGCTTCCACGCAGGAACGGGAACAGGCATGCTGTGGACATCTCCCGCATGGCTCTGGATATCGTGTCCTTCCTGGGCAGCTTCAAGTTACGCCACATACCCAGCTTGCCTGTATGGATGCGCATCGGGGTCCACTCAGGTACAAGACACCAGGCCACACCCACTTCAGGGTCCACTCAGGTACAAGACACCAGGCCACACCCACTTCAGGGCCCACTCAAGTACAAGACACCAGGCCACACCCACTTCAGGGTCAACTCAAGCATACCAAGCCACAACCACTTCAGGGTCCACTCAGGTACAAGACACCAGGCCACACCCACTTCAGGGTCCACTCAGGTACAAGACACCAGATCACACCCACTTCAGGGTCCACTCAGGTACAAGACACCACACTCAGGTA